AGAAGAAGAGACAATAAACAGAACCATCAGAGAAGCATCTGCAGCCTGCCCTCAAGAGCTCCATTGGTGAACAGTCCTTTTAAAGTGCATGTATGAAGAAAGGAGATACTGGGAGTAGGGCCCCTAAGCTCCAGTGGGGACCCATCTTTCCCCATATTGAGAAAAGAGGAATCAAATCTTCAGCAATTTTATCTGCTACCTTGAGCTGCATCTGCCCTCCTTATCTCCTGAACTCTCCTGAACGCGCAGGCCCTGCCCTGCAGGGAGCCAGGAGCTCAGGGAGCCGCAGAGCCTCAGCCTCTGGATTGACCCTGTCCGAGCTCTCAAGCACATCCCGCATACGCCAGCCCAGCTCGTCTGTGCTGCTCCCTGAGGCACCAGAGCCCTCCTGATTCCCCAAGAGGATCTGGTCAGCCACTGAACTGGAGCAAATCCAGTTCTGCAGGGCAGAGAGCAGCCTTACTGGTGAACCTGTCACAAAGTCTGTGCAATTTCTTCACCCGGTGCAGGCAAGACTCATGCGTGGGGCGCACCCCAGCTCACAGCCTCCAGGGATCACTTTCCTGCATTGGAACGCCCTTCAATAGACAGCTTGACCTCCTGGGGAATGAAAGAGGGACGGAGCAGGGACGGCCGAGGCTCCTCTGCCTGCACGCTGTATCTTTGGAAGCCTGGGGCTGCCCAGCTGTGCTGACTGCCAGGCTCAGGCTGAGAGGGTTCTGTGGGAGAGCCCTGCGCCGCACTGTCCCTTTCGGGGTGGCTCTTCCTCTCGGCAGCCCTGTCAGGTGGCTCTCTGCACCCCTGCGCTGTTCTTTCAGGTCTCTCTCTAGCAGATATCAATTGACCTGCGAGAGGGCAGTTAGCCTGAGAAGCAGAGTTGCCGTTCATGCTCTGTAAACTGATTGATATGCAGACATCGCCCACCTGCAGCCTATGACAAGGCAGAGCAAAGAGCTGCGCAGTCCGCCCTGGGCTGCAGGAGGACCAGCCCTGGCCATACACAAAGAAGGGATGCTCTGGGGGCACATCGATGCTCACTTTACTTTGCTGCTCCCCAACCACAAAATGCAATGTGACAAACCCAGGCCACTGGCTTTCCTGAATATCCACCACAGTGCTGGAGTCAATCTTCAGGCCCCCGCTCACCTCAGCACTGCGGACGAAGTCTTGAGTCTGCAGGTCCTCGACTCGCTTCAGCTCTCCTGTGGCCAGCTGGATGATGGCTCCTTTCATGAAGTGGGAGGGCAGATGCGAGGAGCTGGGTGGTGGCAGCTGGGTCACGTCCTTCTCGAGCGTGCTCCCTCGAGCCTGCGCATCCGGGCTCTGCCTCGCCAGGGCGTCTGAAGAGGAAGACCTGATGGGCTCAGACACAACGGGCACTGGGACTGGCTTGCCGTTGGCTATTACCATGCCTTTGGTTAACTGTCTTTGTCTAACCATCTCATCAGGGGACGTTACAAACAGACTCCTGGACTGGCTTTTCTCAGCAGCAGCCCTTTCTGCGGTGCTCCTCAAAGCGTCCCTCGACTCCCCCTGCTGATCAGGGATGTTATGGCAAAGGTTTAAAGGGCTCAGGTCATCCTTCCTCTGGGCTGCCAGAATATGGTAATCCTGAGACGCCAGCACCCCCACCACCCTCTGCACCTCCAGATCAGCATCTGGGGTGCTTCTGTGTGCAGGCACAGAGACCTCTGTGTGCAAAGTCTGGTAACCTGAAAGAAACTGTCCATCGACCACACATCCTGCCGCAGCCCCTGGCAGACCATCTTCAGCTTTGCTGCTGGCCGAGTCCACAGCCTCACTGGTCCTCACCACGTTATGCTCCAGATGTCTCTGTCCACCATTGGCAGCAACCACCTCTGAACTCAGCTGAGTGTCTTGCTGAGGACGATCTGGACTTCCACCCGCTGCAGGTGTCTCGTATGCCGAATACCCCGGTGGGAGGCGGGACATCTGATAATAAACAGGAATTCTACCTGGTGCCATATCTAGTGGCTGAGTCCCTGCGTGGTGCTGTGCCTGGCCAGACGGAGAGATGGCAGAAGTGGATTTGCTGAAGGTGTGGGTAGGAGAGGTAGTCTGGGGAGAAGGAGCAGCTTCCTCCGTGAAGAGCGAGGCATATGGCACGAAGTGAGGGACATGAGAGGCAGCGAGGCTGGTGGAAGGCGACAGGAGCGGGCTAGGCAGGAAGCCGGGAGGGACGGCATAGGGCACGGTGTAA